CTCCCATGAGATTGGATTTATATACAATTATTCATATGAAATAGTAAATTTATACAATCCTTCAAACCATGTGTTTCACAAAAAAACAGAGATTTTGCAACAGAATGATGACATTTGTATATGTTTTTGGCGGCATTCTATGTGGGCTGCACAAAGTACATAAAACCCCACGTATACCGAGTATTTTGAAAATATGGGCTTCAAATGTTTGACATGCTGTGACCTGGACTTTTTGGCCGGAGGCATTCTATGTGTGGCACTCAATCTCATATTACGCTGTAAATTCTCACAAAATTTACCTACGAACGACTCATTACAAAAAGACCAGGTCAAATTACAGGTACCCGAAAATTGCATTTTACCAGGGTTTTTTAAGATTTTGCCCCCGCGGCGGCATTCTTTAGGACAGCGCGACCTGAAGGGGTGCGGCATTCTAAGTTTCAGTCCGTCACTATAAAATATTTATTTTTTCATTTTTTTATCATTTTGGTTATCATTGCATTCATCATTTTTTATCATTTATTTTATCATCTTCATTTTTTTATCATTTTTTTAAACATTTTTTGATCATTTTTGTTTATCATTTTTTTTATCATTTTTTTGATCATTTTTTTTATCATTTTTTTAAATCACGTTTCATCATTTTTTCTTCCAGTGGTGCAAAAATTTTCCAAGAAATGGAAAATTACAATTTTCCTCGAGTTTTTTTCATTTTTTTATCATGTTTTATCATTTTTTAATCATGTTTTTATCATTTTTGCTTCCAGTGGTGGAATTGATGAAAAATGATAAAAATGATGAAACATGATAAAAACATGATAAACAAATGATAAAAAAATTAAAAAATAAGAACAAAAAACGCGGAAAATTGCAATTTTCCAAAAAATGAAAAATTGCAATTTTCCTCAAGTTTTTTTCATTTTTTTTTCATTTTTTCATTTTTGCTTCCAGTGGTGCAAAAATTTTGCAAGAAATGGAAAATTACAAGTTTCCTCGAGTTTTTTTTCATTTTTTTATCATTTTTTTAAAATTTTTGCTTCCAGTGGTGGAATTGATGAAAAATGATAAAAAATGATGAAAAATGATAAAAAAAATGAAAAAAAAAAGATAAAAAAATTAAAAAAAATGAAAAAAAAACGAGGAAAATTGCAATTTTCCAAAAAATGAAAAATTGCATTTTTCCAAATTGAAAAAACTCGAGGAAAATGATCAAAGAATGATAAAAAATGATAAAAAATGATAAACAAATGATAAAAAAATGATTAAAAAAATGATAAAAAAATGAAGATGATAAAATAAATGATAAAAAAAAATGATGAATGCAATGATAACCAAAATGATAAACAAAATGAAAAAATAAATATTTTGACCTGGCCCAGTCTGTGGCTGCAAGTTTTTCATAAGTCTACAGCCACTTTTTGGGTCAAAACTATAACAACTACCGTCGAAACAAACAAAGAAACTGACGCCAAGGTCACTGGAGGAGAACCAGCACGCAGCGCAGGGAGTTGTGAACTGGGCGAGCGAGCAGATAGCAAGCCCCAAAAAAGATAGAACAACAATTTCGGATGTTGAATTTCTACTATCGATAGTTGAATTCTGATATTGTTTATCTTAAGCTATCACCATCCGATAGAACAGGTAATTTTAATCGGATGTTGAATTTCTACTAGATTGCTGGTTACTATAAAAATTCTATAAATCCAGCCTACCTTTACCTAGTGCCCATTTCTGGCAAAAACATGAGTCACTGTTGTAATGACAAGGAAGCAGCTTCTTCGCTCACAGCAACAGCAACAGACCACTGGGCCCAACATATAGATCTAAACCCCAAGTAGCCCGTCGGCTTCGGGTCTCAAGCTTTGGAACCCCAAAATCATATGTGTTTTCCGTGTTTTCCCATAGAAATTGCTTGATTCTTTGAGATGTTTAGGCGACATGTATCTAATTTCCCCTCATTCCTATGTCCATGAAATGTTAGGACTCCATCAAGATGGTGTACTTGGTGGCTCATCCCACTGACTAAGTAGGTTATCTCGTTATCTCCCTAAGTATAGGCAGGATAGTATGGGTTACCCTCTGGTAAACTAACAAAACTATGGAAAATCACCATGTTCAATGGGTAAATCCACTATAAATGGCCATGTTCAATGGGTAAATCCACTATAAATGGCCATGTTCAATAGCTATGTGAGTCATTACCAGAGGGTAATCCACGAAAAGACCCGACGATTCGTGGGATTTTCACCGAGTGACTCGGGAAGTCCAGGATCCACTGGTCGGTCAGGCCGGGTCACCTGGCGGTCAGCCTAATGGTGGTTAATGGTGGTTAATGGTGGTTAATGGTGGTTAATGGTGGTTAATGGTGGTTAATGGTGGTTAATGGTGGTTAATGCATATATATCTGGTTGGTGGTTGACCTACCCCTCTGAAAAATGATGGAGTTCGTCAGATTGGATCGTCATCCCAAATAATTATTGGGAAAAAAAAAGTCATGTTCCAAACCACCAATCAGAATTGTTAGCATATCTCACCAACTACAAAATCACCAAAAATAGGTTATAGCTTATAGTGAATGGTTACCAGGGAAACAATTTTAGATACACAAAACCATGAATTTGTTAGCTGGTGAGTGGATATTCCTTTTTACAAACACAATTAAATGATTCAACCACCCATCCAATGTTGACGGAGGGTATCCTTCTGGATAAATCATAAATGGTTATAGAATGTTATAGATAACATCTGGACAAATTGTTATATATATATATAATTATGGAACTATAATTGACCCCCTTCCTGGATTATGTTTGGTTATAGACAATGTCTAAATCATAATTACTCACGAAAACAATATATATATATATCATTTGCCAAACTGAATACTTGGGCAATTTAGGGGTTTCCGGGCAAACCAATGGTGAAGGGCTGGTGGTGGTCCCAATTGTAGGAACTCATTTTACCCAACAGGACGTAGTGATAATCCCCAGCCAAGCCAAGGGTAAAATGAGCAACTTAACATTGGACAGGCTGTTCTGCCACGATTTTTGAGATGCTTCCTGGTCAGTGGACTATCTACCCTGGTGTGGCGGATCACCGCGAACAAGTCAAACCTTGTGGTGCCAGACCGAAGAAAACATCCAACCCGTCTGGTCAGTGTTGCAAAAAATGCAGAATCGGAACCTTCGGGAACGAAAAACCGCTTTGCTCCTTTTTCGCAAGCGATAAGGATGGACAATAAAAAGTTAGCTCAATCTGCAAAACAGTCTTCCAGAAACGATAGTACCTCTGTCTTGCATGGGATGACATGTTGGGGACAACCGTTGTCATACCATTGATCTACAGTAGATCTGGGAATGCGGACCATGATTGATGCCATGTCTAAATTGATCGCAGTGCCACTGCGTGTGCTCAATGTTGTTGTGCAACAGATAACAGTACCCACACTTTCTTGCCCTTGCTCCGCATATGGTGCTGGGACAAATCGAAACCTCAAAATGGATGTGCAAAGCAAGGTCAGAAACATTGCTTTTCTGCACCATCCTTGAGCCATACCTGCTTGTGCAGGGGTCAAGGTTGGGTAGGTCACCCAAAAACACAACCTTTATTTGTCCCCTATATTCAGCGTGCGATACATTTAACATCATTTAACTACGTACATTTTGGGGCATCTTTATGCAGTTTTGGGGGAACACGTGGGTCAATATTCCATTTATGCAACCATTGGGTATGATCAAAGCTTGCAGTCCAGGTGCCTCGTTTCGTGCGTAGCCCAGACTCCTCAGTGTCAGCCCCCTGAACCGTCCTGAACCTGGGACTTCCATCTATTTGACCACAAATCGTCCAGCTATTGGGTCATTATTTCACTATATCATGACCATATAAGTTATAGAAAGCTATGGTCTATGGTGTTACTAGAAACCTATGCCCACAGGCTTCTAGAACCTAACTAACATATAACAATATTAACAATGACAATTGGGTCTACTGTTTGACCCTCACCTCTTGTGTGGGACAGAAAACCGAGACAGAAGACTTGGACAAGAAGCAGCGAAGGGGCTTGGACATCCTCCTGTCATTACCAGCCGTGCGAATGTGCAACACCACCATCTTTGTTGGTGAAATAGCCATGTTTATCCATTTATTGAAATTTATTGTAATTATTTTGTTATTGAATGTTGATGATTTAGGAACTACACTTGGTGAAGTCGTTCACTAATTGCTGAGAAAACCTCCACGTCTTGTTGGTTAGTTCTTTAGTTCTGCTTACCCCAAAAAAAAACATCACATCAGAGTCATCAGAGTTTACATGTGCAGTACACCCAATATCCGCTGTGAAAGTGAGCTATCCTGCAGGCTCCCTTGGTTTCCTACATCATCCAAGGTCAAACATATCAAATACCTTCCCAGAAACCATCGTTTACTAAGTTTACTATTGAATCTATTCATTCTGAAGCAAAAACAAACTGAATGGAACTTCTGAATTTATATTGACTATATCATCTATATCTCCCCATTTCAGGATACTTTAACCATGTTTTTCACCCCAGTTTGATGGTGAAAACCCCTCCCCAGCGCCTTGTGGCGCCCTGGGCCTCCGGACTGGCGTCGCGCCGATGGCGGCGAACTCGATAAGGATGGAGCCCTGTGGATTTTTGGAGCTAAAGACCTGCAAAGGTTGGGATTAAAGCTGCCAAAGATCATATAATATAGGTATTATATATATAAACATATATTGATCTTTAGATGATACAACATAAATATTAATATGAATATATATAATATCATCAATAATTGATTCAATAATTATATGATATATTGTATATATAACATACATATGTGTGGATGTGTGTGAAAATGGTGAAAAAAACACCATTTCAAATCGCCATTCACAACCAGAAACATTTACAGAAATGCAAGGATCAGCCAGTACAGCGGCAGGATATCAGCATCTTTCAAGCTAGGTCTTCTTCAAGACCAGCAGTGCATTGTTGAAATATGCTGAAATCAATTGTTGTTGGATCACTCATGATGCTTTAATCCAACTCAAACCAAACCTTTTGTGTCAAAACATATCCAGGGTTCATGGAAAAGTTACCTAACTTGTTTACAGCAAAATCCCAAAGTTTCACATCCATAATGTGGTTGGGAAACTCTTAGTTCCTTGCCTTTCCATGCAAAATTGGGAATATGGATATCCAATGATATCCATAACTCCTAACAGCTCAGTCCATTCACCATCAGATGGCACACTTGACTCCTATTTTTCCGAAAACAAAAAAAATCTCCAGAGACATTTTCTTTTTTGCAAGGCAAGATCATGTTTTTTTGATGGTCAAAACCATGTTTCCACGTTTTTCATGGTAAAACAATAATGTTCCCACGGTAGAGCGACCATTCTTCAGCTGAGCCACTGCAGATGGTGCAGCTGCGACCTTGGCTCAATTGTCCAACCGTAGATCTGGTGGTGCGGTGAAGCAAGTGGTTGGTGATTTTAAGTTCGAGTAGTAGAAATACGACCGGTCTATATGCTCCACCGGCTCTATCCACCAAAACAAAGAAAGTTCTCGGTTTAACAAAGAAAATATTGGTTTAACAGTAACATTTAACCAACCAACTTTGAGAATTTATCCCACAAATCAAGCGGTTGCTGGTCAGCCAGAATCATTACATAGGGACTGGAAGTAAACGACATAGACATACATGTTCGAAATCAGCAACACAATTTCTGCTGCTTCTTGAAATTTGGGTATCAAACAGAGCAAAGTGTAGATTTAAGGTCGGATGGCTCACATCTTGCATCTCCTGGTGATGGCACGTCACAGGGCGTCAGATCTTGATCCCAGCCCCAGGGCGCTGTCTGCAGACCATCCGGAAAAGACTCAGCAGCAACAAAATAAACCACACCTGCCAGATTGGGTCCGTGTTAAAAACCAACCCCTGGATATAAATTATCCATACCTTTGTATGTAGTTTCTATCGACCAATGTTTCTATTCAGTTTTGTACTATGCCAACATGAAATCACATCATGTCTATGTATTCTACATTCAATAAAATTCCTCAATGTTTCTATATAATGAAAGTTTTTGCCAAACACGGTTCATATTGTCCTAGAGTCCTAGATCCATGGCTCCAGTACTTGAACTGGGCGCACGAACGCCATGGAGGTAAAATCCCTCGGTGCCTCCGTTCGAGGGCTAAACCTGCGCAGTTTCCAAGCAGTTTCCGACAATGTGGAAGCTTCCATTATGATAACAGATGATATATTAGATATAATGGGATTAGGGATTAATCCTCATTAGATATAATATGATACGGTAACTACATTTAAATATACGGATTTTTAAATATACGAACAGGTATCTTAGACTACCTCCGGGAAGGTTTTCCTTGGCCCGCCCAGCCATTTAAACATACGGAATCCAATTCATTTAAACATACCGTAACTACATTTAAATTTAAATATACGAACTGGTATTTCATACTACCTCCGGGGCCTCGCGGTTTGGCCCGCCCTCCACATATTTAAATGTCGTTACCGTATATATATATATATATGTGGGATATCACGGGATCTAATTTTGACATAATGGGATTTGAACGATCTTTAAATGGGGATTTTCCTCTTCCGGCTGGGCCATGTCGAAGCGCTCCAGCATTGGCCGACTTCATATAGCTTGATATGACCACTTACAATGTGAGGTCCCCAAGTTATTCTAGTTGGTTTGTACCTGACATACCAACAAACTCAAAGATCTATCTATAGTTCAATAAAGCATGGTTGGCCATAACTGGCCAACTTATTTTAACCAACTAACCTATTGTTGAGGGCCCCCCTTGCTACGTCCCACAATGCTACGACTTGAAACAGGGTGTGGAGGGAACTGACAACCCGTAAATGTGGCATGGAATCGGAACACATGCAAGTTGGTGCCCCATAACTTAGCTATGTTGGTTTATAACTGGTCTAAAAATCGGGTTTATGGATGTTTATGGCAAACATCACTGTAGGTAAATGGAATCGATGGACAAACCTACGGCTGGTGCTGTCAAAATTCATCACACATGAACGTCAGAGGCACGTGGATGAGAGCTGGTGAAAACTTGCTGCAATAAATCAATGCATCCTCCATTGGCAAACGTAGATCGTCTGAATAGTGACATATGGCGATGGGTCAAAACCTATTACTACCATATTTGGGGAAATAACCATCCATTAACCAGCTATTTTAGGCTACCGAGGGTATCAGGGTTTTGACCCATCACCATATCCCATTATATTTTAAGTAAGTTATTAATTCTTAAATGGTCCCGTCTAGTATCCTCAAAATTTCAGACCAACCCAAATAGCATGGACTTGTTAAAACACCTTCCATACTATCCCATAATCTACTATGTCATAATAAATAGAATAAACTATGATAATATAATATCATGAACATATACAATGCCATTGACAATTAGTATCATGGTTAACCTTTGGTAGTCCACAAACCAATAATACTTTGCTAGTTATGACGATTTTGCAGTTACAGCAGAAAAAACGGATTAAACTACCTATGAATACCTATGACATTATCCCATATACCATGAACTACACTTGCTATGATATTATCCCATATGCCATATACCAATAAATGATACATTATCCCATATACCCTATTCATATGTAAAAGCATATGTAAATAGGGATAATTAATATCAATATCATGGTATACCTATGATATGTATCTCATATACCATGGTATTCCCATATGCCATATCTCCCATGCTATCTCCAAAAAAAACCGAGAACTGGAGACTCGGTGCCTGGCCGAAGAAGGTGCCTCAGAGGGGTTGGTGCATTTGGTCAACACGTCATGGGAGATTTTTTTTTCTATGGGAATAGCATGGGGCATTACCAAACTTAGCCGCTTCGCCAACTTGAATCAACTTGATATGGATTTCTTTTATGAGACATTACCCAACTTTGCCAACTTGATATGATGTTTGGGTGTGACTGAAAATGGGACAACATAGATTAATGTGCCCACAGTGTTTTGCTTGGTTGAAATGGGAAAATTAGGTTTCTAGGCCATTAAATGCAACGGGGTACCTTATGATCAAAACTCAGAGCTCACAAGAATGGGAGTTGCATAACGTTACCAAAAAAAACCGTGGACATGGGGTTCACCAACCCTTCACAAAGGATGCGAAGTTGCAAACAATTGGAACATTAATAGGTATGTAACCTATTACATTGTGGTTGGTGGTAGTTATAACTACATGCCTATTACATTACCAAGAAAAAGTTATACCTAGTAATTGTAGTTAAAGTTATAACATTAACAGAATGGTGGCTACTATCAACATAGGCATGTCATAGGCATGTAACAGATCTGGAAAGTTTCCCATCAATCTAGCAGATCCATAGCTTTGGGACCCCCTAACAGTTTCTATTTTGTGTCCCTTTTGACTGGTAAGCATTGTCAAGGGTCTTCAACAAGTCGTTGCGATCATGATTTTCATCTAATTATAGCATGCAGTATCATATTTTATCTAAACACACTATATGTATATATATATATATATATATATGGTACCCATATATATATATATATATGTATAAAGACACGTAAAAACACTGTATATGTATATATACACATACATAGCATCAGTTTTTAGCCAATCTAGTGGCCCCGTCCCAAACCTGCGGTCCGTTGTTCAGCCTCTGGGCTTCCACGCCGTCAACGACGCCCGCGGCGTGCCGGTCGTCTGCCGCCGCCGGCCGCAGAGACGGCAGAACTTGGCGTCAGCCGTGAATTCGGCGCCGCACTCGCATCTGTCCTACAGTTGCCCTTAACAGTTGTGGCCACGGGATTATAGATTCAAACTCCTGCACCTGGCTGGTTATAATATATATATAGTATTATTCACATATATATTCTATCATATTAAATCATGATATATTGTATTGTGTTATATCGTATTGTATTATATTATATTATATCATATTATATTATATTATATCATATTATATCATACAATATTATATTAAACTGTATTATTTTATATCGTATTATGTTATATACTATATGAAATTATATCATGTCATGTAATATTATATCATATTATATGTTATTGTATTTTGTTATATCATATATGTGCTATATATTGTATAACATATATATATATATTGCACATATCATCATAGATTATATGTACTATATCGCATAAATGGCGATTATAAACGAATTATAACTGTTAAGGCCTGTAGAAGGCCATGGTTAGTGCAGAGTCCCCCCTGGATTGACCCCAGAAAAGCCAGACTGATGGGAGCTAGAATCTCATTCTATTCCCATCACAATCGAAATACAATCCTTACTGGTTGGTGGTATACCTACCCCTCTGAAAAATATGAAAGTCAAATGGGGGCATTATTCCCAATATATGGACAAATATGTTCCAAACCACCAACCAGCTTTGTAATAATCATAATAGATTCAGATAATAATTCAGATACCCCTAAGCTAATAATCATAACAAATCCCTCAATAATCATAATAGATTCAGATAATATCACAGCTATGACAATATACAGTCTTTTGGTGTATTTGGATACCCCTAAGACTACCAAAAAAATAGGCACCAGAAAATAGATCTCCACATCCATTGAGTTTCAATCTCATGTCAGTCCTCAGGCGCGTCGTGGCCTGGCGGTGTGTACTAACCATGAACCTCTGCAATGGGATGTGTTAGATATGGTGGAATAAGGTGTACATGTACATATATAGATATATATATATATATATGTAGTACGTATATATACATTATCTATGTACATCTAATGTGTATTCATGTTTATGTAAACTATCCCAGAAATATGAACGGATCATGTTTCCAGATAGGATGACAATCCAGACATACTTAGAAAGCACCAAATAGTATTGAACGCCTGGCTCGGCTTTGGATTAACATTAGATCACGCCAAAGTTGCCAGATCGTTGGCCAACTTGGTTGAGTTCACTGGGGTAAGTTATGGAATTTGGTAATTATACAATGGTGATTAAAATTATTGTTCGAAGGAAATAAACTTAAACAACAAAACTTATAACTAGGGGGCACCACCTTGTACTAAACACGTAATTACTGTACCTTCAATTTGACCCGATTCCGAGATTGTAGTAAAGATTCCCCAACATCGATGTCGTAGCACCAAGAGAGTATCACCTGCTTCGAGAACCACCCATACCATCGGAGAATGCATAATGCTGCATTGCCATGGATTAATTTCCATTACTGTTGCTTTCAACAAACATGTTCCTTATCCCCATCACATCAATGTGGGTCAATCCCTATGATTGCTGGTCACACAATCGTTGATTGGTGACAAGGTAAATGGTCAAATTACATGGTATATCGGGTATGGTGATCTATCCTATACTGGGAATCCTTACAATGGGTACATGAATCCTTATCGATGAGGTGATAACCAGCCCCTTTCAGGGGAAATAATCCGTGTTTTGACTATCGCACATATGATTGATAGGTCAGTAATCTATATCTCCGCTATCTTAGTTACTGAGCGCAAAAAACACTGCTATTGCTTCGCTGGGCCTCACATATTCCCATATGTATTTCAAACACATGACTTGTTTTCACCAAACAAACACCAGTCACTTTGCTCAGCTATCGCCAACAATGTATAATAATCCTCTACTGGCTTGCGGTCTCAGACTGCTTCATGTTTTTTGGTCAACCGCCATGGCTGGTAACATCACCAGCTCTCATGGAAATCAAGGGTTTTCCCCACAGGTATCTACCTCCCAATCATTTTGTTTTTTCAAGTACCCTCTGGTAATTTAACATAGCTATTGAAAATGGCCATTTATAGTTGATTTTAGTTTACCAGAGGGTTTATAGCACAGATTTGGGAGTCGGAAGAACTCAAATCTGAGATTAGTTGGAAGACCAGAACATTTCTTGGTGAACTTTTTTTCATCCCTGCACTTCTCGCCACGCTCCTTCGGGTGATCCCCAGAGTCTCTGGCGGGGTAGATCAGCGTTGAAGACTCGGGAGGTTTCGGGTCATGAACCCGACTTTTTCTCAAACATGATTGAGCCAAACAAATGCGAAAAAGTGAGTTTTAGGATTCTTTGATTGGAGTAAATGACTCATTTCTGTAATAGCTATTTCATGATTTACCCAATAAGTTTGCCAAAGCCCATGGGTTCCTTGCATGGCCACTGCCCGGCCTGGCATCAAAGAACTGAACTGCTGCTGCAGCCTCCAACGCTGCAATTCTGGTGGAATGTGTTGGGACCAAATGTGGGGTGAAAAACGCCCTACACTTAAAACCCTTTACGAATGAATTCTAAATGGTTCTCAAATGAGGTCATACATTCCACAACTGGTTGGTGGATGTTGGTGGTATACCTACCCCTCTGAAAAATATGAAAGTCAGTTGGGATGAATATTCCCAATATATGGAAAATTAATGTTCCAAACCACCAACCAAATAAAGTTATCATTGAATTAAAACTAGTAAATGCGGTAAATCTAAGATGGAACCCAAAAAACATTTCTTTGGTGTATACAGTATACATATCAAATTTGGGGGTATTTATTGGGGCATTGGCAGGTTTCTGACCTGTGGCGGGGATGGCAAATCGCCAATGTCAACAGCATTACGGGTGGGTTTGCTGGCCACCCTTCGGTTTGGCCCCGGGGGGCATCGATTTTTGGGAGCCTCATTGATGTTTTTGGTGACCCTTCAGTTAATGTTGTCAGTTAATGAGGGTTAATGAGGGTTAATGAGGGCTATTTTTGACAAAGACAACATTGCACCCTCACTGAAGGGTCACCGAACCTTCATTGGAGTTCTCATGTCTGTCTTTGTGTTACAAATTGGAGCACCCGTTGATCAGCCAGTTTATAATCTGTAGATACATCCACCACGAAACAATACCTACCCTCTGGTAAAACTAACCTAGTTATTGAACATGGCCCAGTCGAAATAGTGGATTTGCCCATTAAACAACGGTGATTTTCCAGTTCGCAAACTGTAAAGGTTTACCAGGCCGGGTTGTCCCCACCGGTCGATGGCTCGCATCTGAGGCATCAAATAGTCGGAACCTCGCGGGCGCGAAACGCAACGCGTGGTTGGTCCACCAAATCTCTACTTCGTGACTGGTGTGAACTTGAGGCTAGCTGAGATACTTGATGTAGACTTAAGGAACTTACAACATAAGTTACTTATAAGTAGAACAAGTAGAAATTAGCTAAAAAATAGCTAAAAATAAGTAGAAATTAGCTCAAAATAAGTAGAAATTAGTTAAAAATAAGTAGAAATTAGCTAAACATATATATATATATATACATAAATAGTTAAGAAAAAATAGAAACCAATAAAAGACATTAACTCAAATTTAAATAGAATTGGCCAGACGGAAGAAAGCAAAGGAAAACCAAAGAGGGAAGAAGGCAATTCGAAGTGTGTTGGCATACCTGGGTTTAGGCACAGAAAATGTTTCTCTTAGACACATGTTAGGTTTAGTTTGAAAAGGAATTTAATTTTCATTTTTTTGGTATATTTGTTGACTTGCAAAAGGCATCCTTTAGGGGCCTGGCATCATCATCATCATCATCATCATCATCGTCATCATCATCACCATCACTTGAGCAATGCCGGAAGTGAGGCATTGGTCAATCAAGCACCGGAAGCCAGACGCTGGAAACACCATTAATTAATACAAGTGTCGGAAACCAGACACTTGCCCTGCCGGAAACCAGACAGAAATTTCAGTCACCAAAACTAACATCATCATCATCATCACCATCACCATCACGGTGTTTGACCTGCCTTTTTCTAAAAACTTTAGCGGCCTAAAGAGGAGGCAAAATGTTCACATGCAAAAAAAAATGGTCGTATCTGGGCCGATTTTAGGTCGTATCTGGTCGTATCTGGACGTATCTGGGTATATCTGGGCCGGTTTTAAGCCGTATCTGGACGTATCTGGACGTATCTGGGTGTATCTGGGCCGTTTTTTGGTCGTATCTGGACGTATCTGGACGTATCTGGACGTATCTGGGTTTATCTCGGACGGTTTTAGGCCGTATCTGGACGTATCTGGGTGTATCTGGGCCGGTTTTAGGTCGTATCTGGACGTATCTGGACGTATCTGGGTGTATCTGGGCCGTTTTTAGGTCGTATCTGGACGTATCTGGGTGTATCTGGGATGGTTTTAGGCCGTATATCTGGACGTATCTGAGACGTATCTGGGTGTATCTGGGCCGTTTTTAGCTCGTATCTGGATGAATGTATCTGGACGTATCTGGGCTGCTTTTGGGTCGTATCTGAGGTATCTGGAGGTATCCCATGGAGGTATCTGGGCGTATCTGGTCTAATTTTTGTATATGTTTTTTTTTGGCGGGGGGGCTTGACAACGCGGAAAGGTAAAACTCTAAGAACGTGAGAAATTGAAGTTCCGTGACTCTTACAAATTCCTTGTAACTTTAGGTGATGTCGGGGTGAGCATACTTGATGCCGACTGGCGAATCCTGAGACGGCAATTTTGAAACTGCTCATCTCTCATATCTCCAAAGTCCGAATGGTTTGCCATAGCCCTCAAGTAGCGGCCCACTGCTCTCAAAAAGCCAAGTAGGTCTGCCATTGCAGACAAAACCAAAACAAGTCTGCGCCGTCTCTTTTCCAAAAAGGCTACGGCCACCAAGAAACCCACATGTCACCAAAGAAGTGGTTCAAAAACACAAGGCACTGTGGAAGTTGCAGCTCCAAAAACAAGCAACGGGTCTGTTTGCAAATCAAACATTTGTGGGTTCTGATATTTGCGGAGCGTCCCGAAGGCCGCTATCAGGTACATCAAAAATGAAAGAATAGTAGATATTTGCTAGAATAAAATAGCAATTTAATAAAAAGTAAATTTGAAATAAAAAGAAAATAAATTCAATAGTAAATCAAAATAGTTTGAAATTAACTCAAAATTAGCTAAAAATACGTAGAAATTAGCAAAAAAATAGCTAATAATAAGTAGAAATTAGCTAAAATGAGCTAAAAATTAGCTAAAAATAAGTAGAAATTAAGTTCCTTAAGTTCTGCCAACATAAGTGGCATAAGTTCATAAGTTGCTTCTAAGTTCCACGACTCCTTGCCCAGAACTTGTGCCACTTATAAGTTACACCATGAACTTAAAGAACTTGAAGTTCATGTTGAGGAACTTGAAGTTGATGCTATGGAATTTATAACTTACTTAATTTTCCTATAAGTTCCTCAAGCTCACACCAGTCACGAAGTACGGAAAGCGACTCTTAAAATGCTAGGACAACAATAAGTCAAAGAATCCGGTAATTTTGTTTACAATACTTTGGCAAACAAAAAACATACAAATATATACATGGATAACTATATATGTAATAGATATGTAGCAATATGTACACCACATATGTGTGTTGTATTGTTTTGTACAATATACAGTGGTATTCACTATTTAAAGATACTATAACCTGCATTTAAAGATACATGATCTTCAAAGGATCGGCCAAGTTTGCTGCAAAGTTGTAACGGATTGAGGGCGTGCACCAATTCTAGGAATCTTGGGCCGGGCCTCTGTCATGTTTGGTATCACTTGGGGCCTCAAGCCTCCAAAATAAGCTCTGAAAAGTGATCCATGGGCCATGCTCAAAACATGGAAACATGGCGGCTATGGTGGTCCTCCATCCCTGAACATCCGTAATAGGTGGGGGTCATCAATTCCCCAGTGACCGTCCCCCAGGGGTATCCAACTTTTAGGACCTTAAAAAAACCATAGCACACCGTAGATCTGTGAGCTGAAGCTTTAGTCAGAAAGGGGTCCAACCATCGAAGGCTGACTTGACCAATGAGTTTCCGGTGACATTGTCTAGCCAGTTTGTTTCGTTGATGTGTTCTCTACCATTTCACGACGATTCAGAGTTTAAAGCCCATTGACGTGATACATATTTGGAGAGCATTTCAAACCCGTGAACGAGAAAAAACTCCTGGATCTTTGGACACATCTCAACAGGAAGAACGACCAAAAACCATACAAATAAATATGTATATATTACATTGTATATAATTACTCAAAGTTAAATACTGAATGTAACCTACTATATACGATCGTAGTATCGATTCTGATTATCCGAATATATATATATATATATCCTCATCATGTAATTGGTCTTTGCTGATGCTATCCCACCGCTGTGCCACCGCACGGTCAATGCCCAGCTGCTTCTCCTGGCGTTGATACACTGATGGGTTCTACCGGTCTACCGTTCTACCCTTCAAAATACCTCTACTCTGCAATAACTGGTTGGTGGTTGACCTACCCCTCTGAAAAATATGACAACTCGTCAGTTGGGATCATGACATTCCCAATATATTATGGAAAAATAAAAGCCATGTTCCAAACCACCATTTTCTCACTTTCGCCTGCGCGCCACGTCTTTCGCAACGTGACCCGACTTTGGGGTGTTCTAACCGAAACTGGAGATGGCCACGGGCTCCAGTCCTGCAATGCATGTCACATACGGCAGGGCATCCACACTTTTTGTCTGTCGTTTCAGTGCAAAGGGCAGGCATGAAAACAACCAACTGTCCACCGCATCCAGCCGTTCCTCAGGCCACGGAACAGCCACTAACCCCGTATGCATCTTCACCATATGTGAGTGTGGAAGTCCTACAGCATAGGAAATCTGTTGATTCTGGTGTTTCAGGCACTGTTTCAGGACCTTGATAAACCACTTCGTTCGCTGTCGAAAAGAAAACCCCTTCAGAGCCAAATGGGGAACGGAGGCTCCGTCTTTCCAACCGCGTTCGTTGATTGGTCCAGGGTTGCCCGTGGACCCCATAAAATCTGCATATAATTGTATATGGGAGACCCATTTAAGCGGAGCTTTGCTTGTAAACACCACGTCAAAAAACCAGCTGAGGATTATGCGGACAATGTCAACGCCATACCACCTGATGGCCCCTTGAGGCAGCGAAAACGGCAACAGGCCCACCCAAGCAGGCAGAGGAGCTTGCACTACCGGTTCAAAGTCAACATCAATAGGCGTCTCAACACAGTCTTGTGCTCGAACCACTTCGCGGCTAATGGTAAGAAGGACCTGTCGGACAACTGTGTTAACCTTTTCTGTGTATTCACATGCATTCACATGCCTTTCCAGCAACTTCCAAAAGACACCTGGCCGGCGGAGGTTAGCCGCCACAGCTTCACGGTCTGCAATGTTGTTATGCTGAAAGCACCAAGCTTCAAACACATTTTTTGCAGTAGTGAGCTCACGATGAGCCGCAACCTTCTCGACTTGAATTGTTCCCTGGAAGTTATTGATGAGTTGTGAAATACGGAACCACAAATCTTTATGAGTACTACCAACTTTGGGCAGACCACCTTGCAAAACTCTACGGAGACGCCAAACAACAGCGTTGCAGTCAGTCCACAAGGTCACATTTTTTCCATTGGCTACTGCAAATTCCAATGCTCTGTAAATGGCAAAAATCTCCGCACGGACTGCACTTTGGAGAAGGCCCGGGAGAACTCCACTTTCAACAATCTGTGAATTTGCAGCACTGGCTTGATCCGGCGAAGCAAGCACTACAGCCCATGCAGCAAAACGTAAATGAGAATCACTTTGGTGCAGGCAACTACCGTCTGTGAAGAGGAACATGGGGCCCTCATACTGAAACTTCAATGGACGGGTAGGTGCAGGCAAGGAGGTAAAGTAAGTCCACCACTCAGCCATGGTAGTGGGCATGAGGTCCCATCCAAGGCACGTCACTGCTTCAGGCAACTGGGGCATCAGATCAAGGATATCTCGCGGGAGATCTCTGCGGGTCCAGTCAAAATGTTCACACTGCCAAAAACGGTGATACCTACTGTCACTACACATACAAAACGGGCAACCTTCATCAAGACTCTCTTGGCAATGTTTTTTGCCATCCTGAGTTATATGTGTACCGTTCAAGAGCTTCCTGTATAAGGCTTGGTCACTGGACTCTTGCATGTGAAGCCATCTCCTGGTGGATTGCGGCCAGACCCTATCAAGTCCCTCAGCAATGGCCCGGTGAGCCGTGGCACTGGTTACCACTTTCAGCCATTGCCATTCAAGCCTAAGCATGATTTCAACGCATGAGACTGAAAAAATGGAAAAAGTTCCAAATTCATCAACCAGCAACCCTTCGTGATTCACATGCCACCCAAGAAATTGGATTCGCATAAGCAATGACGCGGAAATGCTATTGTGCATCGGTACCTGGCCAGCAGCCATGGCAGCGACTGTCTCTTGCACAACCTCTTTGCGTCCACAATCCTTGACAAATTTGAACGTTTGGAAAATACTCCAAAAGTGCGGATCAGCAAGTGGTGATTCCACAAGGCCTAAGTGCAACATGGGGTTGCTACCTGCATGATCCTCTTTCAAACCTTTCATGGCTCCAGCTCTCAATGCATTAAAGGTGCTTGTACTTAGGGTGGTGGCCGCGATGGCGTGGAGGCCCTTTGGCCATGCTGCACTTTTCAAAGCACGCACTTTAAACACATAACCACAGGAAGAGAGACGGAGCTTAGGCCAAAGACTGCTCAAGGCTTGCAAGCGTTCCATCTGCACACCATTGGTGTGCAGTTTTGTGAATTGGATGTGAGCCCCCAGATTTTTGCAGGACTTGGAAAGAACAAAGCCTTGTTCACGGAGCTGCTTTCTACCATCAGGTAAAACTGCCCAAACATGTGTTTTTCGTTTGTCCAATACCAAATCAAGTTCCTGTACCAGCTTGTCCAAGGTGGCGGCAGCACTGGTCATCTGGCTGGGATCGCAAAGCAAAAGTTGCCAATCATCAACATAGGAAATGGGTTGAGCAAGTGGGAAGAAATGCCGAAACCATTCATGAAAAATGATGTCAATGCCCATCATGGCAACGCAAGACATAGCATCTCCCTCAGGAAACCCGCATGTTGACAAAATGGCTGGTCCCATTGAATTACGGATTTGAAACCGCCGCTTCATGGCAGTTAGAGCCCCGGCCCATGCCACCAAGATTGGAGGAGGAACACCCAAAGCAGCACACGCTTCCATAACCACAAGGCGGGGAAGCATGTTGAAGGCCTTATGCAAGTCAGCCATCATCCCGCACAGGTCAACTTGATGGTTCTGTGCATTTTCAATGGTGTACAACACATGTGACCAGACCTGACCGGCAAAACAACTGGGCCTGGAACCATAGAGGCCTACAGGCAACACATGTTCCAAGTGTTGGAGGATACATTTGGAGTGATAGGAGCCCCAGCATCTGTACAGAATACCAAACACTGTAATAGGACGAAAATCCATCGGTGAGGCAGGCTGCTCTGTTTTCGCCAAGCTTGTCACCCTACCGGCAATGACTTGTGCAGGCCATTCGCCAGTGGTTTCTGCGTGTGCAAACATATCACAAAAATTGGACAAGGCAGCTGCCGGCAGTGCTCGCAAATCCTGAAGTGAAACTCCATCAAGCCCATGAGAAGTTGCTGTTTTCTTCTGTTTGATTGTGTGGAACAGTTCCTTGGGGGACAGCCCAGGCCATTCCATGTTTTGGCAACGAAGGTGAGCACGGGCAAAGGCAATGATGGTATCCCATCGGTTCAATGGTACATCCGCATGCCGTCCCCACTTGGCAGTCCATGCATCTCTGAAAGCAGCAAACAACTCTTCTTCAACACCGATTTTTGAAATTTGGGTCACCTTATCACCTGGATGCACCTTGGAGGTGTCCTCAACCCAAATACAATCACCCTCCGCATGGATGACATCAAGCTTGTGGCCGTTACAAAAGATTGGTGTTTCTGGGTGAAATGGCAGTTCTGTGTGTAATTCAATGGATGAATCATGTGCATGCACGTGACTGATCTCAGCTTCGGCAGGTTGAAACAACAGGCTCACTCCCTTCTCTGGATGTGTCTTGATATCCTGAAAAATCAGGTTTGGGTTATTCTCTCTTCTCAGTCTGGCATAGGCCCTTGAGGACTTTTTCAGCTGTGATTCAAAGGCTCTAACAGCCAGTGCAACAGACTCAAACAACTTGGTCGCAACTGCTGCCGAAGGAGGAATCAAAGGAAAGCTAGTGGGGGCTCCATGCACTCTGTGATTACATTGGGCCCACCAATTGCAAAAACTGGGGGGAAAACCTTTGGCGCGAATGATGGATCCCCACAACGCAAGGGCATGTGAATCCCCAACACAATGGCTTCGGCTACTGGCGTAATGGGCAAAAGATTGCAATCTCCTGACCTGCCTGATCCACTGTGCATGGCGGAAAGAGGCACAAAGGTATTGAGGGGCAAAATCCCCATGGCGACCGAGCTTAACAGGGGCAGTCTTACCAGGGAGAAATGGAACTGTTTCACATGTGCCTGCTCTACCAAAGCTCTTCTTTGGTGGGGAAAACGGTAATGCTTGAGCTGCGGAATGTTCAATCTGTTTCCACACTGCCGCATATTTCTCGTCAGGGCTGCCGGTGGCAGTTTGCCAAGCCAACGGATCAACATTCCACGCCTTTGGCCATGGGAAAGGTGACGGCATGACCCAAATTTGCCGTGGAATTGACGTTGACAGAGACTGAAAGGTGCCAATCAACACGGAATGGTCTGGCCAAACATCATCAGCAACATTACAGTCAACCAGCAACGATTGAAGTTCAGGCGATATGTAACAAAAATCCTTTCTTGTGGCATGCTTGCAAGTGGCCTTAGGCAAAATTCCCCATCGGCTCCAGGCTACATCTTGAAGATCACGAAAGCCATAATTGTGAAGCAACTGGAACGAAGGGATGCTGTCAGGAAGACAATTCCAGTCTCCTTCTACAAAACGTGGACCAACTGACAAACCACACACTTGACTGATGACCGACTGCAGCAGAAATTCATTATGTGACATGTGTTGTGGGTAAAGGTGACTGTCAGGTTCCCCATAGACAACTCCTCCCGTAACCCACAGGTCTGCAACAAGTGTAGAGGAAACAAGTGTCCTAGATGACTCAAACACACTCGGGGGCCCATGCATCTGCAATGCTCTCGTTGGGAACTTGGACAGCATTGCCACTCCCTTCCATTGGCCATGGTGGGTTTTTGAACCTGGGTCTGGGACATGGTTTCCTGTGACACAATATTTGAAATCACTGCCAGCAAAACGAAGACCTGCCTGGAAGTCATGAAACCCTTTGCGCGTCAAGTGCGTTTCAGAAATGGCCCACAAGTCTCCATCTGAAAGTTGTGAAACTACGTACGGTGCTTTACCACACAACCCAGATGGGTTGAAAGCCCCCAAAGTAAAAGTGCTGCTGTTGGTAGGTCCCGGATTGGACGCTTCACCTACCCTGCAACCCAAAACCAAAATCAAAAGGCACCAAATAGGTTTTGGTGGACCACAAAATCGAGCATGAATTTGGCACACAGCCAAAAATTGCGGCAAAATTGTGAAGGCAAACATCATTGGGCTCAGGACACCTGACACACCTAGGCAAAACATCATCATCAGCAGGCATGGCAGGAAAAGTCCCAGCCCAGACCGTCATTCATTTTCGTCGCGCGGTCTCTTCGCAAGCAGACCTCTGATTTGGTCCATCTGCTGAGCGAACATGGATTGAATGGCTTGATTTTGGTTTTCCATGTGACCGTGTAACTGCTGTCCCTGGATATTCAGTTGGTTCTGCATGGAAGACAATTGCTGGCCTTGCTGCTGGGAAAAGTCATGAAACTGAACCTCCAATCCCTGTTGCTTTGCCATAAGATGCTGAACCTGCTCTTCAAGGGCTGACACACGCTCAGGCACCACATCTTCCATTGGCGCAGCGGGAAGCTTTGCAAGGACGGCATTTTGCACACGGACCTCCAACTGCTGCATACTTTCTGTGGTATCACTTGCAGTGACGGATGTTGGTTTGAAACCTCCCCAAGGGTCCCTGGCATTCCATGGATCAGTTTCAGGAGAAACAGCTTGACCCTTTCCACACAGTGCCAAAGTCGAGGCTGATGCTACCGGCGCAACAAACTGCTTTTGGCCGCCGGTGTCCACCTTGTGTTTGGTGATCACAACCTCACCATGTGTTGTTGGTACAATTGAGTTCTGGGGTTCATCAACCGCCTGCACGATCCACATTGACCCTTTTCCTGGTACTGGGGCAGCTGGCTGGAGTGGGCGACACTCCCATCCCGTTTGCTTCATTGCTTTGCTGATCGCTGTGCGATCAACTCCAAAGGGGAACGGACCCACAAGGAACAGAGTTCTTTGCCCTTGAGGAAGGTACACCGTGTCTGGACGGATGAGCTTGTGAATGGTGGAGGCCTGAGAAGTCTGAACTCGAACCCCTTTTCTATCCCCTACCCGGGCCACTCCGATGATCGCTGGATTTGTTTGTTTGAGGTGCATCATCTCCTGCATGGACAAGCGTGGAGTCCAGATTACCGTGTAATCTGACAAAACTTCTGTGCCATCTGCAGTCCTTGGTTCACAGTAGGCTCCTGCTGTGCCACTGGACGCAAGGAGAGGTACCAAAAGTTGAAATGGTACCCTGAGACACACTGAAAAAAATTCTGCTTTGTCAACTGGTGAAGGCTTGAACCCAGTACGAAGATACTGGCGACGCCAGACATCTAGGATTGGTTCCTTGATATTCAAAAGCTCTTCATTATGCCACGAGTCACAACTACACCCTTGCAAGGTGCACCTACGCAAAATAGGAAAACTTGTGACAAGAAACTTGATTGGAGCTTTGCTGAATTCCTCCCATGAGCAAGTGAGTTCATCCCTGTAAACAAGGTATTTCAGGGTAACCACATCAAGTGCTTCCAACTCGACCAGGTCGCTACCTCGGAATTTTTCCACAAGCCCCTGCCCAATCTGAACAATGGTGGCATCTGCTAGAATGGGTTCGTTGTCAACAGTGCATCTACAGGGAACTGTTACAGTTGAATGTGGCAGAGCAGTGGTCACTTCCACATCTGGCCGATGTAGCACAATCATTGCCAAAGGTTCAGTTGAAACTGTTTTGGCTGCACGCAAGTAAGGTTCTGCATCAGCAAGTGTTATCAGAATCACACCAGAGCTCACCGGACCAATCTGCTTGGGTGAAATTTGAGCCACCACCTTGCCCTGAGAGCGGAACGTTCCATCAATCACTTGAAGCTTGTTGGGGTCCAAGTCCAATTGGGTCTGATGTTTACCCCCATGTTTCCCTTTACCTTTGGCAGAAACCCCATGGTTTTTACGATCATCAATGATTTGAGCCAGTTCAGATGGCAGGACAAACTTGAACTTGTTGTTGTTGCCCAATGCCTTCAACTGCTTCCACGGTTGCTTGTGGGAGAGCGCATTACCAAGTTGTTCACTGCCGATGACTTTGATGGCCTCATTAGCTCTGGATTCAGCCCGATTTTCAGGCACTCCATGCTTTGCTAGTTCAGCGGCAAGTTTCTGTTGCAGAGTACCTTGGGGTCCAAACCCAGACGGGCCAACATTATGTGGAAATCCAGACAGACTAAACATGAGGCGTAGCTGCTGGTGTACACATTCCAACTCTTCGAGTGACTTCACAAGAGGAGTACGCAACAACACATGAGAAATAACCTCAATTGCCTGTGCTCCACACAAATTGTGTTGGAATCCTTCATGGATACCCTGAACAAGGCAGTCGGACAGCTGAAGGCACGCAACTTCTGAGCAAAATTCACTCGGGAGAAACATCCTAGTGACACACATACCTTTGAGGCAAACAATGGGAAGCCAGTGTCCTCGGATCAACACGATTTGGGTCATAATGTCATGGTGACTTTTTTGAAAGTGTTGAACGACTGGCGGCAGGTCCTCAAGCGAAGGCAGAATGTGAGTGTGTGCAAGAACTTTTCTAGCAATTCCAGTGGTCTTGCCTTGCAAGGTGTCCACATGAAACACAAGTTCCGTAGCATCCATAGCATTCGTGGAAACATGCAACGGTGGATCATGGTTCAAACAGATACCTTGGTCAGGACACTGTTCTACAGGGGCATCGATCTGCCATTGAACCAAACGTCCGACTTTGTCCCAATCAAATGAGGCAGCTTCCAATGTTTCAGAGGCATCGCAGACCTGAGGCATGTGCATCTCTCCTACTACAGGAGCCACAAAGGGGCTCTTGCAGGGCATTGTAGGGAGTGGCCCTGATTCCCTTGGCACGTTTGTGACACTTTCCTCATGAGCCACAAAAGGACTTTCGCAGGGCATTGAAGGGAGTGGATCCGGGTCCACTGGCATGTATGGGGCACCTACATGATGAGCCACCAACAGGCTCGCACAGGGCATTTGAGGGAGTGGCCCTGATTCCCATGGCTTGTGGGTGACACGTTCATCATGAGCCACAAAAGGACCCGCACAGGACACTTGTGAGAAGGGCCCTAAGTTACCTGGCATGTGCATGACACTTTCATCTTGAGCCACTAGAGGACTCCAGCAGGGCATTTTCGGGAGTGGCCCTGATTCCCCTGGCATGTGTGCAGTATTTTCATCATGAGCTATATCAGAGCTCTCCCAGGGCATTTGAGGGAGTGGCCCTGATTCCCAATGACAAATTCCATTTCCCCACACAACCGGTGCTGGGACCTCAAGTTTGGTGTAGAGGTCAGCAACAAAAGCTGCGCGCATGTTGACATGAATTGTCATCAGCTCTGCTACTGCATCAGGAAGCAAAGCTCCATGGACCACATGTGCCAAAAACATCATTGCCGCAGCTCCACACATGTCATGATCTGGGAGACGGGATGGGACAATATGCAACGCAAAGGTTGGGAAACCCAATTGGTGTCCAATGCAGGCACAAACATCCTTGAATCTCATGGCATCAACGGTTGTATGGGCAACAGTATGAAATGTCAGGTTTTGATCATGAGGAACGATCCAAAATGGGAACCAGTGATTGTCAAGCAAAAATGCAGTGAGGATTTCAGCATTCTGAGTTCGGACTTCTGGGTGACGATCACTCCATCTTGCCGAAATGGTCCTTCCAATTGATTCCCAACAGGTAAAAACCAGGGGTTCATAAAACAGGAATTGCTTGGAGACAGGTTGGTTCTGTCGTGTCGCAATCTCGGCAAACCTGCTGATGATGTGCTGAAGGTGGAATCTGATCTCATCGTCAGCAACGGCATTGTGATGTTCAGAAATCAGTGCAATCCTTTGGTCTCTCATAAGCATGGCAGGGACAGGCATATCATCGCTGTGAGGCAACAGATTGGGGCCTCCAGCAACACGATCTCCCTTACCCCAGACCCACGGTCGGCGCGTGATGTCACATTTGGAGAAAGACTGAACGAACTGATCTCTGTACACTTGAAACCTTTGGGTGGTTTCCGCATGGTTGGCAGGCAACTGCACATTCAGAAAAACGTGGTGCAAATATGCAACAGCAAGTGTTCCACAAAGGTCAGTCGTGGAAAACATTCTTCTGTCTCTCTGGATGCAAACTGAGATGAATCCCATGGAAAGCCCCAAACGCTCAATGATGTCGTTCAATTGCAGGTGATCATGTTCATCTGTGTCCCACACCAAAACTCGAAGGGTGTCCCCATTTGGGTGCATGGAGACTGGTACCCAATGAGATCCAAGCAAAAATGCAGTCGCAACCGGAAGTGACAAGTTGAAAACACATCCGTGATCACGACCCCACTCTTCACATGAAAAAGCTCGACCTTGAACCCATGCAGAAGTAATGAGGGGATCAATAGTGATCAACTGCTTCACTGGATCTGTGGAAAACCGGCATTGGGCATCAACGAAGTGTTGGCTGAGAGCAAACAAATGAAATCGAATTTCATCGTCAGAGAAAATCGCACCTTGGTTGTCCAGAATTGCCAACCGATCCTGCACTTGCAAGAATTGATGTCGGACGGACCAGAGCTGCTGAGGAGTCGTAACCTGGGGGATTGAAAGCATCAAAAATTGGTCGCCCTTGAGGCCCAGAAGGGGGTCAGCGCAGAGCCAGCTGGTCTGCTCCCCATTCGCAGTCACTGAACACTCGCCAATGTCAAAAATGGACGGCTTGCTCAATACCGGGTCTTTGACCGGATGAGTCCACTGCGCGGTTGGTGAGAAACATCAACGTCAACAATTGTTGGCTGAGGTGTCAGTGCTACTGTGTTCTGGCCTTGGTCACAATCAAGCTTTGCCTGGTTTCCAGGCGAGGTCAAGACGAAAATCACCTGTCCCACTTCCAGAGGATGATTCATTGGTAAAACGTTACCCTCAGCATCAACGCATTGATCAATTCTGAGACTACCAACCAACTGCTGATGAGCACGGAGGAGGTCGTTCAATGTAGTGCCAGCATGTGGTGATAACTGGATAGGAGCCGATGTTTCACCATCAATCAACACAGTGCAGAATTTCACATCGATGCCTTCAATGTTCTTGGGATCATTTGATTGCAGGGTATGTTCCAACCACGGCGTTTCAGGTTCATGCATGTTGACATCATGATCATCTTCGATACCACAAACTGGAAGCAAAGCAGGTTGGGTTCTGAAAAGAAAGTCCAAAACAGCAGCAATCGTGATTGGACCATCGATATGTTCAGACCACCGTTGAGGAAACATCAGCTCACCCAGGGAAAGTTGGTCGACAGATTTCCAGCAGGCAACTAATGGTTCAATCTTCTCCGGGAGTGTGGTTTCCGCAGAGGGCCACACCAGTTGGCATCGCATCAGGAGCCATGACAAATACGATTGCAACTGAGTTTCAATGTCAAAACAAGGTTTCCCAAAACGCATTTCATGAAGGTGGAGGGCTAATGATGACATAACCCAATGCACATGGATTGGACTGGCAAGTTGTCCAACAGCTGACAAGATTAAACGGGGGTCATTCCCGAAATCTAGTGTTGGATCCATTCCATTCAAGGCCATGGCTTCACATGGGTGAATATGCCGGATTTGCGACTTGCACTCTTCCGTAACTGCACTGTACAAAAGTAAGCCAAATAGGCCTTTCTCTGTCAGTCGCTTATGGGAGAGCCCACAATGCCTGCAGCCACAAGGACAAGCGGTCAACTGATTTCCCCACGCATGCAGCGCACAAGGAGATGTTCCCTTTGCGTTCAAAATGTGGGAAGAAAAATCACCAACGGTTCCACCAAAAGCCAAAAATCTCTTCTGGGGTGAGAAACAGTGCATGTTCATCATCGATGTCCCATGGAGAAATGAAGGGAATAACCTGTTCTACCCTGAGGATTGGGTTCTGACACATGAAGTCAGGCACCTGAACAGCTCCAATGGATGGGGCAGTGATAATCCACCATGCTCTGCTTCGTTTGCAAGGCCATACACTGTCAAGTTTCAAGGTCTTTTGAACACAGGTGAAACCAGTGAGATGACAAAAATAGTCAATTTCCGACTTGACGAATTGATCTTGGGCAGCTGGCGAAACGCACTCCAAGATCAAAACTTGGGTTTGCAAATAAAACGCAGCATACAAAAGCTTCGTCAGGCACATTGACCTAGGGTCGGAAGAACTCTTACAGTCACCCAATGCCGAAAACGGCTGACAGCTAAAGCCGCCAGTCATTGTTTTGGCGCCCTGCGAGTTTTGCCAGATTGCTTTGAGAACCTTCTTATCACATCTCCCACGACTGTTGGAACGTCATGGACAGTGGAAAAAAGCTTCACCATCTTTTCATTTTGGTCAACAGCAACCGTAGAATGGAAACCTCCTGGAAGGATACCTTGACTCATACCACCAAAACCGCAGCACATGTCCACAACTGAGAATAAGCTATCCCAAGTGACCTCACGATGGCCCAAGACGCTGCTCTTAGGGCACAAGGAAAGTCTGGGGACTGGGAACTGGGCATCAAGGATGGCGTCAAAGATTGAATAACTGTCACATCCAGCTTCAAGGAGACCAGAGAGGAAAAACCGTTTACCACTGGGAACTTGCTCCATCAAATGGTTGTCATGGTCCATGTCAAAAACCCGAACTCTGCATACCAAATCCATAGCTGAACCGTTGTTGATCGTACTCCAGTCCATGGGAAAAGAAGATCTAGCCATGGCGATGACGTGTCCTAATGCATGCCCGGGATTAGCAAGGTCGGCCGTACCCCCTGGAAGGACTTCGGGCCTCACGGCTGTTCCAAACCACCAACCAGATAATGTGTACAATATAACTGGGGTTCCAAACCGCTACCATTTCACTAGCTTTAACTTGTGTAGTTGACTCCCAATACCCCAGCGAGAAGGTGTTTGAACCAGAATAAAAAAGGCCAAATGTCGTATCAAAAGGTGTTTGGAACCGTAGCGATACTGGCAGTTTAACATCTTCAGAAAACTCAACTGGGCAATGAATGACACCAAAGTCACACGAGAAAATAGGAGTAGTTTAGGATCCTTAATTACGGTAGAACCATGATTTCATTGAAGATTCCTCAAATCATCCTGTAGTGGAACGTGAAACGAAAAAACACTTCGACAGTCAAAGATGCAAATACAGGGATGGATAGTCAACAGTTTGAATGGACATTATTTATCAAATGATCAATCCAAAATTAAGAAGCCCGTATTTGCTCGTATCTGCTTATCATCCAAGTGCCGCTCTTTTTTTCTCGGCATTTCATGAAAACAAAACTTCTTCCTGACAAGCCTGACAACCGATTCTAGGATTTTGAAGGCTTTGGGAATAAAAAAAATATATATATATGGGTCTGTCTGAAAATGGTGTATACCCCCAAAAAGGTCCTTTTAATAGGGGGAATGATGATTAACCAATGGATTTAGAGGTACCATATTTTCAAACAAATCCATATTTTTGTGATGGTTCGTGACAACTTTGCAATTTTGTTCAGAGACATAAACTAAGGTTTTCCAGTATCCAAGAGACTATAAGTGAATATTATCTGGGATAAAACATGCGCATCTTGAGGGATACCCGTTGGTAATCAAAAATTGCACTAAACAATCAACAATTGCACTGACCAATGAAAAATGGCACTGAACATCCTTTAGCACACTAGATTCCATCAACATACTTCGGAGAATAGATGATAGCAGTAACAACACTATCTTTCTGTTAAAATTCATGTCTATAGACCTACATAACCGACTACAAGAATCATTCCCAGCCAGCTATGACTTCGATAGAAACGAACCCATTCAGCAGCCGTCTTCCATGGCTTTCGTCCTCAGTGTAGGCTTTCAGCTTGCTGCGATTCGCCTCATGTCACCAGGCTACAGCTTAGTCGATACGGTCTCCTCCGGCTGCCTGGTATAGTAAGTGGTTGAAAAGGGCAAATTCTCATTGAGAAGTGATCATCCAAAATCGATTGGAACATATTGGAATCAAGCCAGGAGTAGACCCCTATGAAACATGATGAAAGATGGATAATTTCAGATATACCAGAAGACCTTGGTTTCAATTTTGGTTGGTCAATCCAGATTCCAAGTTCAAACATGCCCTACAGATCCCTACAGTAAGTATCCCTAAGTTTTGAAAACCAAGGTCAGGCCAGCTTTACCCAATTACAATGGATTCTCACACGTCTTTTCTCATTCAATGGCCATTTCAGGGTGCCCCGTTCCCCCTGCCCCTTGCCTCGCAAACAGCTTTCGCGGCCTTTTTTATGCCAGACATGGCCAGACATGGCCAGAGACATGACGACTGTCTGGTGGTTGACCTACCCCAATGGTGGTTAATGGTGGTTAATGGTGGTTAATGGTGGTTAATGGTGGTTAATGGATATATATATATATATATATATATATCTGGTTGGTGGGGGCCACCTACCCCTCTGAAACATGATGGAGTGAAAGTCAGTCGGGATCATGACATTCCCAATAAATATGGAAAACTAATCCAGCCATGTTCCAAACCACCAAGCAGTTGTCTACTAATTTGCAATGATGAAAAACTGCCTGTTCTAATCTTTTCTACCTTTTTGGGGTTGCAATAACTCCAAATTTGTTCTGGAAATCGGCACAGGGGCCAACAAAATAGGAAGGGTTTGTAGTGCCTTCTCGTTGGTGAAGTTGCGCTGATTTGGGATCCCCATGTTGGTTGCCCATCTGTTTGTGGAAATGTTGAGTCTATGCTGTTTATCTTTGTGACAAAAACAATGCTTTTAGGGTTCAAGGCTAATCTTATCTAATCTTGATTGATAAACTACTGAATTTCAATCGTTAAGTTCCCCACTTTGGTCCAGATTTCACCCTTCAACTACAGTACTCCCATCTTAGTAGAATCAACAAATTTTGTCTAACAAATATTTCCTAAGATAAGGGTATGCCATTTCAGCATTTCCAAAAAATGATCTTCAATATATATATATATATAAACAGTATATACAAATATGTATGTATATATCATAGTTGTATAGCATTTGTATTAACTCCCCGTTTTTGCTGCTACTTCCCCATTGGGAAAACACCATTTTTGTTGCACCTGCAACACCTGCAGCATCCGCGGAGCAAGCCTCAGAAATCCGCGGATCAAGCCGGCACGGGTGGCGTGTACCGGCAACACATCACCCATAGATATGGAAAATCCACAAAATTCCACAAACAAATCCTGGAAAATCAGGAAAATCCCCAAACAATCCTGGAAAATCCATGAAAAATCCGCGAAAATCATAAAACATCCACAAACAAATCCAACATGTGTAGATCAATGTAGATCACTTTACTTGGGATTTTTTTTTATTGATATACCATGATATACCATGATATATCCATATCTAAGTCAGAATACTGGAGGGTAAAATCCATGGAAAAGATTGAAAGGTGGGTTGAAAGGTCCAGAGCTGGTTTTTGCCAACCAAAGTTGCCATGCGACCAAGCCAAATCCGTCAGTCGCAGAGTCTTAAAGTGACAAACATTGGGTGTGTCTGTAGCCATTCTAATCGGGAACATGATTGTCAACCGCGGAATGTAGGGTTTTCATTGCAATATCAGGACTTATTGGCAACCATGGATGAGAAGCACCCCAGTCCTCCAACATGATCTGCCTGCCCCACAATTTCAGCCGAAATCTCAAGTGAGCTGGGCCTAGCTATGGAGTCAACAAGAAGAGGTGGCTCAACAATCATATGATTGTTACATAACTCAACAAATTTCCCACAAAAAACATCCCATTTGGATTCCATGTGGATGTACAAAAAGAAAGAAAAGAGTAGAAAACAACATGGAGATACTGGCTGATCATCCCATTTGGAGCAGGAATCCCTACTGGGATCAGCTGGTGTTGAGGATATCTGTATGGCTGCTTTCTCATTGATGAGCACATGGTACTGAAAACTAATGATGGAAAAAACAAAATGGAATGGGAACCGGAATCAATGTCGATCCAGTTTGGTTGGTTTGTTTTGTGCTGCGACACACTGCAAATGTTCCAATAGCAACTGCAGAGTTGCAAAGCAAATCAAGCAGTGCTCAAGAAAATTGATCCGCCAGAAATACTGCGAAGAGAGCACAGCAAAGTAACTTGGTCCAATCTTTGGTTGAAGTCAAGGCCGAAGGTCAAGCTTTGCAGACTGCTTGGGAAAGTCACTCGATCCAAGCTTTGGTTGAATCTATGGCCAAAGGTCAAACTTTGTAGACTGCTTGGAAAAGTCACTTGATCCAAGCTTTGGTTAAAGTCATTGCCAAAGTTCAAGCTTTGCAGACTGCTTGGGAAATTCACTCTATCCAAGCTTTGGTTGAATCTATGGCCCAAGGTCAAACTTTGCAGACTGCTTGGAAAAGTCACTTGATCTAAGCTTTGGTTGAAAGCACAGCCAAATTTCAAGCTTTGCAGACTCCTTGGGAGTGTCACTCCATCCAAGCTTTGGTTGAAATGAACGCAAAAGGTCAAGCTTTGCAGACTGCTTGGGAAAGTCACTCCGTCCAAGCTTTGCTTGAAGTCATCGCCAAATTTCAAGCTTTGCAGACTGCTTGGGAGTGTCACTCGATCCAATCTTTGGTTGAAGTCAAGGCCGAAGGTCAAGCTTTGCAGACTGCTTGGGAAAGTCACTCGATCCAAGCTTTGGTTGAATCTATTTCTAAAGGTCAAACTTTGTAGACTGCTTGGAAAAGTCACTCTGTCCAAGCTTTGGTTGAAGTCAACGCCAAAGGTCAAGCTTTTAAGGCTGCTTGGAAACGTCACCCTGTCCAAGCTTTGGTGAAATCCATCGCCAAATTTCAAGTTTTGTAGATTGCTTGCAAAAGTCACCCTGTCCAAGCTTTGGTTGAAGTCAACGCCAAAGGTCAAGCTTTGTAGACTGCTTGGAAAAGTCACTCGGTCCAAACTCTGATTGAACTCATGCCCAAAGAACAAGCTTTGCAGACTGCTTGGAAAAGTCACTTGGTCCAAGCTTTGGTTGAATGTATGGCCAAAGGTCAAACTTTGTAGACTGCTTGGGAAAGTCACTCTGTCCAAGCTTTGGTTGAATAGATTGCCAAAGTTCAAGCTTTGCAGACTGCTTGGGAAAATCACTCTATCCAAGCTTTGGTTGAACGCAAAGACAAATTTCAAGCTTTGCAGACTGCTTGGGAGAGTCACTCGATCCAAACTCTGGTTGAATCTCTGGCCAAAGGTCAAACTTTGTAGACTGCTTGGGAAAGTCACTCTGTCCAAGCTTTGGTTGAATAGATTGCCAAAGTTCAAGCTTTGCAGACTGCTTGGGAAATTCACTCTATCCAAGCTTTGGTTGAATCTATGGCCAAAGGTCAAACTTTGCAGACTGCTTGGAAAAGTCACTTGGTCCAAACTCTGATTGAACTGATGCCCCAAATACAAGCTTTGCAGACTGCTTGGAAACGTCACTTGGTCCAAACTCTGATTGAACTCATGCCCAAAGTTCAAGCTTTGCAGACTGCTTGGGAAAGTCACTTGATACAAGCTTTGGTTGAAGTCAACGCCAAAGGTCAAGCTTTGCAGACTGCTTGGGAAAGTCACTCGATCCAAGCTTTGGTTGAATCTATGTCTAAAGGTCAAACTTTGTAGACTGCTTGGGAAAGTCACTCTGTCCAAGCTTTGGTTGAAGTCAACGCCAAAGGTCAAGCTTTGTAGACTGCTTGGAAAAGTCACTTGATCCAAGCTTGGGTTGAAGTCATCCCCAAATGTCAAAATGTCAAGGCTTTCGGGGAGGCGGCACAAGCTTTCAGTGGTAATAGTGCCTACTATCTGCGTCACTCCTTCGAGTGCAAACTCTTCCTCGGAGATTGGGAACCCTTTGACATAGCTCCATGCAGCACACAAACTCGTTGGAACATACGTGCAGCTCAATGTCGCAGCCTTTCCTGCAATTTCCTGTTCTTGCAATGTTTTATGGAGGAGCAGTGGTGAAGCAAGGTGGTGGAGCACAAGTCTTGACCCTCTCTTTGACGGCAGCTGCTGGGAAACTAAGCGGTGCACTTCGCGTCCAAGGGTGGAATCATCGAGGCTCAGCATGCAACCTTCACCATTCAGACATCTCATGTGAAGCTCAATCTGCTCAGACCCACCAGCTGGTAGCACATAGCCAGACATAGCCATAGATAGCCTCTTTGGGCTTTGGGATTACTGCCACTGCGGAGCTGTGACCCCAGGAGCTACAGGGCTGCAAGGGTGAAAATCCTAGCAGCGCAACGCTGCCACATGACCACATCATGCCACATCCAGGGGTCCCGTGTTCTGATTTCGATCACGGATTCAAAGATGAGTTTCCACAACAAATGGAAAAAATCAGAATTTCAGGGTCTCTGTTTGTTTTTCCAAATCGATCTATATCTTCATCTATGATAAGGTGATATTTTCAATGGATGACCATATCATATCTCTGGATCAATTTGGAGTCATGTTTAATTGGTTGGTGGTGTACCTACCCCTCTGAAAAATGATGGGCTTCGTCAGTTGGGATGATGATTATTCCATTCCCAACTGAATGGAAAGTCAAAATCCAGCCATGTTCCAGTCACCACCAACCAGTGTATAGATCTATTAAGTCCATATTAAGATATATTAAGTGCCAATAACCCAAGTATTAAGTCCCATATTAAGTCCTGTTCCAGTCACCACCAACCAGATATTATATCATATTCCCATCAAGTTGTTGGTTTATAGCCTATGAAAACCACTATTAACCACTATTAACTATCACTGTTTGGTTGGTTTTTTTAATGAGTCATCTAGTCATCTATGATCAGGTCATCCATATCTCCACATCTCGGTTGCTCTTCACCCAGGTCACCCAGGTCACCCCT